AACTAACCATCGTGGAGGACTTTTTGATTAAATTAACCCTCATTTCTCTTCATAGAGAGGAAAACCACGTAAACGATTTGCCCGATGACAAGAGAAATCCAACCCATGATCTTTGTACCACTGAGGATATTTTTATGTAAGTATGTGGTCTGTGAGAGACCGAATCAGAATTAGTATCGGCCTGCCATTGCTAGGATTCAAACCTATGTCACCTCGTTGGATGACTAATGCTCTTTGCCCTGAGCTACCGTGACTTTCGTTACTTATTTATCAGAAATTTTTTAACATCAAGAATTACATCGAAAGCGCAAGAAATGATAATCATTGCTTAATATGTTATGGAAATATCATTGGTCTATTTTTTAGGAATGTTATCGAAGATTTTTTATCGAAAGACAAAAACAATAATTCTATTGAACAATACAAGAAAAGTGTTTGTATGGTTTCTACAAAAACCAATTTTTAATGCTCACATAAATTCAGATTGAATAACATACAATGTAGAAAATATGTAATATACGCAATATGTGTGAGTCTTAAAGTACGTTATGTTTTATTTATACAATAAAATACACAACATGTTACTGGATATTTCATTCCACGCATTCAAAGTGCCAATGTATTAAAGCTTCTTATCTACAATATCAAAAACATTTTTGGACAAAAAAAGTAAAAATATATTTCTAAAATGGATCTTTCAAGAAATATTATTCTCTTTTCATACCGAAAAAGGGAGAGAAAAAAAATCTATTTATAAAATTTTATTCTAAACTCTAGTGCAACAACATAGAAAATTGAGTTTTTGCTTGCAGAATAAGAGTTCTGTATTCTATTGAAATAAACTATAATGTAACAAATACTTTGAAGTTTTCATACTTTGATCTGAAATATTATTAAATTTACGACATTTCGAAACTTTCTTTTTAAAGTAAGTCATAATTTATGTGTCTACAGTTATTTTTACTCTATAGACTGTAAAAACAAAGCGATTAAAAGGAACTTGACTGGACATTGGTAGAATTGTCAGGAGCTACTAAAAAAGAAATTTGTGAAAATTTAAAGTATAAACAATATGAATTTATTTATATAATGCGTTAGATGGAAATAATGTAGACTAATTACTTAAATTACTCCTTTCACATGATTAATATAGCGGTGTTAGAAATGCAGAAATTGGATTGGATTTTTATACTTTAAAAGTTTAGCATTTTTAGTTTTGAAATTTAAAAAGAAAACTTTTCGTTGTCCAATTCCTAATAGCTGACATTTTAATGTTCTAAAATGCTGCTAAATTATAGTACCGTTTAGATATGGGTGCTTTACAATAAGCTGACTCTTTACAAAAACGGAAAAAAATGGCCATAAGATTTTTATTAAAATCATATCATAATTTTCAAATATTAAATTGAATTCAGCTTCATTCACGTAATAAATTAAAAACAAGCTTTTTATGTGTGCAATAAAAGTAAATATCGTTTTCACGAACGCGGTAAATGAAGATAAGTTTTGTGTAGGTGTCATAAATATGTACGATTGAAAAGCTTAAATCACTTATTCCTTATTGCAGAGGGGGGAATAAAAGTATGACAACTATCTTGGAAACTTGTTGATCTACTCTAAAAATTATCTAAAAAAAGCGATACATTAATACATAATATTTAAATTTTTCAATTTAACCGAAAGTAGTAGAGGTTCCAAGAGAACCAATTATCATGAGTCAATTATGAGAGAAAACAAACCACGGAAAATAGCATTCATAGTTTAACAAAAAGTGACTTGTATTTTCTTATTCTATACGCAGAACTTTGATATGCATAAGTATTTTTAAAATATTACTTTTATTCATGTCTAGTGAAAACATTGAAGATTTGAAATTTGTAAAAATAATGTACCTATTATCTCGATTTTTTTCCAAGATTGCTTTCGAAAAAGCTCAATCTCAAAGAAATAACTTTTTTCGACCTTAATTATATTTAATTATTGCTTTTTTAAATTTTATTACTCACAAAGCATGTCAAGCTTCTACTATATTTTTGACGGAAATATTTTTTCGCTTTGTGTAATTTTGAATTTTAATAATTTTTAAGCTTTCGGCAGTGTTTTCATACTTTTAGGATCATTAGGAAATTTTTTTCACCTTGAACCTTTTATTTATTAAGTGTATTTTATAATACTGAAAATTAACCTAAAAACTAATGTTCTAAGTAAATTACGTAACTATCAATTTTAACTAACTATTTGCTCAGTATGTTTGTCTGTACTTTTGTCGGAATGCAAACTTGAATCTCTCATAACTCCAGAACTATTTGCGCTAGGATCCTGAAATTAGGACATCGAATGCAAGGAGCAATTTTAGCCCTCAATCCTGGAATCACCTAAAAAATTCAACTAGTTATTTCAGGAGAGATTAATTTCTGATATCAGTATAGCATTAGCCATTGTCCTAAATTAAATTATAAACTGTTTAGAAAACTATTGCATACTCTTTTAATGTTTAAAAAAATTACAAGCTCAGTAATTGAGGTTGGTAACCTGGCTACATCGGATTAATATTTCTGATTTGTATCTGGAATCACATCCTTACTTTGTTTATTGTTGTGATTTTCTATCATTGCGATTTTCTATTTATGTGATTTTCTCTATTTTCAATTTTTGGCTCTATCTACTCTACAAATAACTGAGTCGATTTTTTTTCTCCAGTTATTCGGAATACAAATGTATCCGACCTTATATGAAGTTTACTATTTGTACAAAATTTACCAAAATAGGAAAGTATTGGTATAAAATTAAGTAAATTAAAAAAAAAACTTAAGGAAACCTAAGACGCATAAAATTATTTTTTGTAAACAACTTTTCTAAGAAGAATTTCCAAAAAATTCTTTTTAATAAAAATAAAATGTTAAATACTTCTGTACTTCTATTTTTTTAATTTTTTAGAACTCTGATTTTTCCCCATTAGCTTTTCAGTTGCTTCTTTACGCTCTTCTTGCTTTTCTTTTCTTTTTTTTATGCGGCAGATACATTTTTTCTTATAAAGGTGGGTGAAAGCTTTCAAATCATCAAGCTCTTTCGTTTCAACGCTATAAAAGCAAAATTCCTAACTAAAAAGTTTTTCGTAAACGACTGGATTTTCCCACGTATTTTCATTATTGCCGTACTCTCAATAGATGAATCAGTGAGTCCTAGCTGTTTTTTTAATTGGTTGTTTTATTTTTAACACTGTCTATTTATTTAAAATAGCAGTGTTCCCTATCTATATATTTTCCATATAAAACACTGATGTCTATATTGTCACAAAATGGAAAAATGTCTTTCTCACGTTGGCAACAAAGAACTGAAGTTTCAAGCGAGTGAGTAGTCAAACGCATGAACGCATAAACATACAAATTTACAAATTAATAAATATTTTCTTCACTGGGACAATTAAAAAGTATTTGAGTTAGAGACTGAATTGAAAAAAATAACAGATTTAAATATAAATCAGATTTTAACAGATAAATTAGAGATAAAATAGTTTTTATTTACTTTGATTTTTAAAAAAAGGAATTAAGTTTATAGGCTATTCTAAAATAAGTGTTATGTTCTATGTTCAGTGAGTGGGTTTCAGTCTTTTTTGCTGTAGCATTGGAAATTTTTTTAGTTACATCTTATGCTTGGTGCCAAATTGAGTGGAAAAAAAGTAGTTCTTTTAAAAAAAATCGTCTAGCTCCTTAAGTTACATGGTTATTATAACTTATCTGTACTTCAATTTTAACCATGCGTCATATTTAACACAATTTTTTTTCTTGAATTTTTAGGCATTTTACTAGTTTATATTAAAACAATGGATTATTACAGTTAAGTCTCCAAACACTGAAATGGACAACTGCGCATTTCGTTAAATTTTGTGAATTATTTCCTTCAAACGTTAATTTATCTATATATTTATCTAATCCCAATATTACGAGCATAGCGAGCAGATGGCAGGACTCCTTAGTATTATGTAAGGCAATAATATGAGTTCATAGTTACAAAATCGATTAAATGTTAACAGAAAAACACTTCGTATAAAAAATCGTACTATGCAGTTTTTATTAATTATGCTTATTAATTTAAGCCAGTTGGAAATTTCAGTTTCAATGACGCTTAATAATTCTTACAGGAGGCCACCAGAAATGCATTGTTCATTGATTCAACATAAGTTTTATAAAGTAACGCACAATATAATTAATTTGAATATTTTGATATTATACTTTTTTCTTTTTTTCATTCTTTTTTCGGGGGAGGGTTATGAAATTTACGAAATAATGTAGGATAAAATGACTTAATTTTGTATCTCCAAACACTATACTATATTTATGTGCATAGTAAATTCCGTGAATTACTTGATCCGAATAATAATTCCGTGATCTATATAAATTGAATAAAATCTTCATATATCAAATGATCCATACGATGCATATGCAACATAGTTTCATAATCTCATTTTTAAACAACGAATATGAGCATACATGCAGAGCCAAAAGTGAGAGAGAGATCAAATTGTGAAACAATCCGAATTAGAGGGTTGACAAACGCAATGAGCTAACGAAGGGGTACTCTAGTCTATAATAAGTGCTTTTACTTTACATAATTTACATAATTAGGTTCATATGTTATTAAGTTATCTAGTCACAATGAAATGATATGCTTGGGCATGTTGTCCTGATCATAATCTCGTGCTTTTGGAAAAACATTTCCCTTTTTCAAGAACATTCAACATTAAAAAAACTTACATCAAATTCACTAACTGAAATTGTGCAACTGATTTCGACTTTTTGGGGTGATAAAGAGATAATAAAATCATTTGAGCTTTTGACACGTTATACTTCTAGGTTAGCTAGTTCGGGTCTGATATTAAAAAGCATAATTACGGAATAAAATAATTTCTTTTTGAAATAAATATTTTCCGAAGGAATATTCGTTAAAGACTTTTGAACGACCATGCCAATTTTTCAAAAAGTAATTAGAATGTCATAGAATCGTATGTTACAAGTTTTATTTTAAGAAAAGAGAATTACATGTTGAAACTACATGTACTGTAAATAAAAGAAATTTAACAAAACCATTCAAATTAAAGTATTGAATGAAATTTGTGTATTGTTGGGAAATGAAGAAAATAAGATGTGGGTTTACAACAAACCAGTAACCAAAATTCATGGCAATAATTGTTTCAGTTGCTTGCGAACATTCATCATTTCTTGTTGTTGAATATCCATGAGAATTTTTTTCTGCAAAAGTCCCATTTCCTTTCTCAACTCACCATGAACTGCCGAATACTGTTCAACATGACTTTCTTCAAGCTCAGTCATACCCTTTAATTAAAAATTAAAAATAGAACTGTTCTAAAATTTTATCAAGACATATAAATAAAATACAAAATGTGGAATAAGCTCTAAATAAAATCAATATAAATTCTTTGATATTTAAGTTTTATTTAAAGTGAATGCCTATCATAGTAGAGCATATTTAAATAACTATTTAGCACAACCTTTTCTTTCATTACAATACTACACCTAATATCTCTGTTCGGTTAAAAAGAATTAAGATTTGTTAAATTCATTATTTGAATTTTTTTCTCTCTCTAAAAGATGTTAAAGTTATGTATTCAGAAATATTTCAACCTGAGACAGAATTTTCATAAAATAAGACAGTATGTTCATAGTTCACGCAACTTTCTTTCACAATTTCACTTTTATTTCACTCAAAACACGAAGTGAAATCAAAGGCCTCAAAAACATAACCAATAAAAAGTGGTTGAATGTTTAGTTCCCTTAATACACCGACGGGAAAAAATCCCATCACCATGAAGGAGATGATAAACTAAATTTGATACCTTGTTTATGCAACTAAAAGATGTCTATTCAAATTTCGTGCTTGGTGCTAGTTGCGCCTCTGTGAACATACAAATCAGGGTTGCTTTAAAAACGTGTTCTATAGTTCGTAAACGATATTTCTCGCTAAATTTTGACACAGTGAGTTGCAGTTAGTCAAGAATACTTTTAAGACAAAGAAGCCATTATCAACAGTTCACTTACTTTGAAAGTGGTCGTGTAATAGGGCTGCGAGAAGGTGGATTTTCTTTTCGCGACATTGCAGGAAGACTGGGAAGAAATGTATCCACTGTGCATAATTGTTGACCGCAGTGGTCAAGAGAAAGTACTGCTTCAAGACATGTTCAAGGCTGCACATGGCACTACTCAGAGGAAAGACTACTGAGTATGCCGTATGGCTGTGGCACATCATACTGCGTCTGCGCAGAAATCTGAGTTGCAGTTGGCACTGCAGTGACGCAACGAACTGTTACAAATCAGATACCTCAAGTACAGCTCCAAAGCGAGACGCCATGGGGTTTGCATTCCACTCACTCCAAACCATTGCAGTTTACGACCCGAGTTATGTCGAGTTAGAGCTCACTGGAGAACAGAGGGGAGATCTATTGTGTTTTCTGATAAAAGTCGGTTCTACCTTGGTGCCAGTGATAGCCGTATATTGGTTAGAAGGAAGTCAGGTGAGCGCCTGCCCCCGAGCTGTCTCCGGCCAAGACAAACTGGACCTACACCTGGAGTTATGGTCTGGGGAGAAATTTCTCATGAAAACAAGTGCACTCTCATGGTTATTTCAGGCACCTTAACAATTCTAGGCACTTACCTTGCAAATTTGTACATCAACTTGGTGATGCAATCTGTTTTGTTGTCATTCATGGGCAGCATTCAAATACGAGTTTTCAACAGGATAACGATCACCCTCATATTGCTGTAGTTACCCAACATGATCTACAGAAGGTCGACATGTTGCTTTTGCCTTCTAGATCACCAAATCTTTCACCAATCTCGCAAGTATGGGATATCATTGGACACTAAATTCAGCATCATCCACAACCAACATTAACTAACCCCGTATTGACTGACCAAGATGCCACAGGCATTGAACTCCATATCACAAAATGGCTTACAGTATCTGTATTACACAATGCATGTCCGTTTGCAAGCTTGCATTCAAATTTCTGGTGGTTACACAGGTTATTAAGGTACCAGTAGTTCACATTTGAAATGGTTTTGCTTTTAATTGAATTAGCTTGTGATCTTGAAACTTTAATCAATTGAATATGTTAGTCAGACAAACGCATTGCCAAAATTTCATTATTCTACAATAATTGTTTCTTGATATTGGAATTTTTTTCCATCAGTGCATGTTTTCGCTCTTTTTTTTCATTAATTTTAAAATAATAAAAATTACCTGGAGGCTTGTACCTGTAATTGCAAATCTTGTTTATCCAAAATATATTCGATGCAAAATTAAGTTTTTATTACATAATGCTGAAAACTTTAAAAACTGTAAACGGTAATATNGAATAATATATATATATATATATCACAATAACGACATTATATAATTTCATTATTATTCTTCAGTTTTTATCCGGAATACTAATAATACTACATTCGAATTTCGGATTATGATATTTTATATTACTTCGCTTGATCTGATATAAAAATTTAGTTAAAAAAGTTTAAAAAATATGAAAATCACTAAAAAGTAATTTGTAGCATTATTAAGGTCAAACTTCCACCTGTTCTTCCAACTTAATATTAAGATTCTAACTATGATAGTTTAGATTATCGATTATTTATTTAGGATCAAAAATAGAAATACGAAAAAAGTAGAAAAATGTCTGATCATTTGAATGCGTTATTATTCCGAATTTCATTTATTAAAAATTGATCATCGATAAAGGGATAGTATTAAGGAATTAGCTATTGGTTAAATTAGTTTATGCTTCCTAATATTAAATTTGCATCTCTTAAGTAAAATTCTGAACGTTAAGAATATTTATCAAGCATTTCCTAGTAATTTATGCCTTTTTCTCGCTTTACGTATGATTTATGACAACTTTCTTGAACTAAAATTCTATAATTTTATATAGTAAAAAAATTGAATTAACTTTCAAAGTAATTGAAAACTTACCAAGGCATTTTAATTCAAAAATGAGTTTAATTTAACAGATAAATATTAAATTTTTAAACATGTATTCCTTGATTACACCATAAGAATGCCAACCTACTCTGGTGGCATTCTTATCCCCCTGTAAAAGCTAAATATGCAGTTAACAATTTTACGATATATTTAACTTTTGTGCATAAATCAATGCAACCATGAAATGCATGTCACTTGCATTATATATATTTGTAGTGATTAACAAGATATAATTAATATTTAATTTTTAATTTAAAATAATTCGACATTTTTATCTATTAGCATTAAACAAACTTGCTTGCTTAGACGTTGAAAATTTGTTACGTATTTTAAAATTTGACATAATAGCACGAGAATTTAAGGAAAATTTTAGAAGCCTTATTGTATATGTTGTTACTACTCAGAATATTGTACAACTTTGAATATTTTTATCGATGAATATAATTTAAGCTTAAACCTCGAAATAAGTTTATAAAAAAATCAAATCTCCAAAATTTTCCTTAAAGAAAAGCAAATGACTTCCATAACATTTACCAATATTGGCACCAAATATCGAAACACCGGAATTTTTAGATGGATTATTCATTTTTAGTGCGATATAAAATTCAAATACTTTATTATAATACCAAACTCAATTTTTATTCAAATTTAAAAACTTTACTCAACTGAACTCTTAATTTAAGATAAAATTCACTTTTCAATGCAGTCTTATTCCAATTTAAATATTGATGATTATGTTAGAACAAATCTTAAAATAAAAGATAGACGTACGCATAAAAGATAATTACAATCCAATATATATAAACATTAGCTTTTAAACTAATCAAATTATAAATCCAATAATAATAATAATCCATGTAAAATTATCAGTTTCTTACTTTGCAAAACTCTTCACTCAAATTTTTCAGAACTTTCAGTCTTTGAGAGTGAGCAATTCTTATTTGCTGCTGCTGTTTTTGCTGTTGCACCAAAACTTTCTGCAAAAGCGCAAACAGAAACGTAAGTTTTTGAAAAGCAAAATACAAATTTGCTCGAATGTCAAAAATTTATTACATATATGGAAATTTGTATCAATTTCTAAAACCTTAAGGATTTATGAGAAATAGGGAATTAATTATTATACACAGTCGACGATATACAGACAGTGGACAAATGCTATTAGATAATTCAAAGGTTGAGTTTGGTGGTTTAAGAAAAGTACAACGAGAAACGAATGTATGGTGCGCTATCTAATGCATAAGTAAAAATTACGTAAGCAGTGCTTGATAATAGGCAACATTTACGCAATCATTAAAACGAGAATTTACTTAAATATAAAGATGCAACGATATGAGACCAAAAGAATTGAATTGAAATGAGTTAATCTCGTGTAAAGTGAACGAACTATTTAATTTTATTAAGCAAAGAATCTGGGTTTTCTTAAGCAAAAGATTATGAATAGAATGGTCATTGTTAACTAAGGCTACAAAAAAAATAAACGGAAGAAAAGCAGAAACAGGCATCTATTTGCATTTGTTTCTGTATTTTCATTTGTGCTTTATTCACTTTTTCTGCACTGTCTATCCAGTCTTGAATGTTCATTGTTGCTTAATAAAGTTTATTATTTCCTTAAAATTGAAGAGAGTTCAGGGGTCTGTTTAGAAGAAATTTGGGTCCGTTAACGAACCCTTCACAAAATATCTTTTCATAAAAACGGACCCTTCACAAAATATTTTAACTTAAAAACGGACCCTTCACAAAATGATTTTTCTTTTAATCGGATCCTTCACAAATTTGTTTATCTTCANTATTAGATAATTCAAAGGTTGAGTTTGGTGGTTTAAGAAAAGTACAACGAGAAACGAATGTATGGTGCGCTATCTAATACATAAGTAAAAATTACGTAAGCAGTGCTTGATAATAGGCAACATTTACGCAATCATAAAAGCGAGAATTTACTTAAATATAATGATGCAACGATGTGAGACCAAAAGAATTTAATTGAAATGAGTTAATCTCGTGTAAAGTGAACGAACTATTAAATTTTATTAAGCAAAGAATCTGTGTTTTCATACACAAAAGATTATGAATAGAATGTTCATTGTTAAATAAGGCTACAAAAAAATAAACGGAAAAAAATCAGAAACGGGCATCTATTTGCATTTGTTTCTGTATTTTCATTTGTGCTTTATTCACTTTTTCTGCATTGCCTATCCAGTCTTGAATGTTCATTGTTGCTTAATAAAGTTTATTATTTCCTTCAAATTGAAGAGAGTTATTTTACTGGAATAAGAAGTATGGGGTACTACAGTTATAACTTTCGAAATTCTTTCAATAGGAGAAAAGCGACTGTAGTCGCAAAGTCAAATTTTGATCACAAAAACGGGAAATAAGAGACCTAGAGAACTCAGAACTATTCGAATTAATAAAAATAATGTCATATTAACAAATATAAATTGACCACTGACTGGTTGTTATTCTTTATGTTGGCATGCATTTTACAGTACGAATGTGGTAAAACTCGAATCTTAATGAAATTTCGGTACGAATTTTATGCATCAGCGTTAGTATTTCATAAATATAAGAAAAAAAATCAAGATATGTCATTTCAGATACTTTCTTACTTGCAGTTTATCTTCAGCTTCCTTCATTTTCTCAACTTCGGTTTCACCTTGTTGAATTACAGCAAATAATTGATTTTGGTATTGATCAATGAGTTTTTTTCGTTCATTTGACTGGCTTTTATTTGTTTCAAGAACTTTCTTAGTAGTAGAACGAGTTGATTCCTGAAAATAATAATGGATTATTTTCAAAAAAGAAGCAAGATTTTTACCATTGGATTTCTTTTTAATTCTTGTATCAAGTTTATAATAGTTTTTAAAAGGTATCTGAAAATAATTATGACATTGTTATAAGGAGATGTAGAGTAATATTTCTTGATCATTGATGGTTATTAAAAAAGCAAATGCCCCCGAAGTTTTTCGTTTGAGGTACGGGAAAAATATTTTTTTTTATTTAAAAAACATGTGGTTATAATTTTTTTTATTTTACTGATTTTCTTCTTTTAGTTCTGTTAATTTGTATCAAAAAGTGGGGGAAATGTCGGTACTGTAAAATAGAATTAAATTTTGCTTCCTTCGTTTAGACTTTGTAATATCATTAGTCAAAGAGCTCAAGTTGAAACTTAAGTACTCTAGCTAATAAGAAAGTAGTTGAAATCTCAATTGATAATTAACCAAATTTGGAGATAAATTGTGTTTGTAGTTGTCAAAAAGAATTTCAACTTGTATTGTCAGTAGGTAAGAAGTTTTCGTTGATCTAACTAGTTAATCATAAAGTGGTTGAAATTTCTAGTCCTTTACATTTTATTTTAGGGGTAAACAACGTGCGGCGAGCAGCAGCACCTGAGCATAATGATAAATTTATTATAATTTTTATTTCTTTTAGAAAAGAAAAAAAAAGTCAAAAATGTGGAATTTTGCATTTGAGTTTTCACTTTTAGACTCAAATTGCGCAGATCTATCGTAAATCTGTATGGTTCTCCGATTGCTCTTTCGGTGATTATTTTCCCGGATTTCTAGATAGTTTTAGAAGTCTTAAAATTTTTTATATGATATTCTGATTCGCAAATTTCTTAAACGAGTTTAATTTGATGCATTCCACTTCTCCATAAATCTAAGCAATTTTCTGATCGTGCTTTTGGTAGTTGTCAGTTTATTAAATCTGGATCTTAATACGATCTGGATCTATTACGACTTGCAAGTTTCGAATTGAATATTTTAATATTTATTTTTGATGTGCTTTATTTGTGGTGATTTCATCTTAAATCCAAGCTATCTGTCTATCGCTTTTCTTACAATTATTACTTCTCATTTAAACATGGCGTTGAAAACCTTGATATTTTTAATACGTACGAGTATTACTTAGACATTCGAATCGCGCATTGAAATGAGCATTTTATTTGTACCGATTTCATCGCAAATCTAAGGAATTGTTTCGATCATTTATTTCGGCAGTTATTTTTATTCTTGTCCACATAATTTTAAAAATTCTAATATTTTCAATAAAAATTTTTGACGTGCTTTATTTGTGCCGATTTCGTCAATCGAAGTTTTTTTTTCGATCGTTTTTATGTTTTTGTTATCTTTTTCAATGTGGTTTTGAAATTCTTGCTATTTTTAATGAGATTTGCGAATTTTGAATTGCATATTTTAATAATCACTTTCGACATTTATTAAATTTGTGCAAAATTTTGTTGTCAATCTAAGTAATTTATTTGTAGGCTTTTTTAAGTTATTGCTTTGCTTCTCCACGAGGTTGTGAAAATCCGGATATTTATAATACAATATTATGACTTGCGTGCTTCAAACCCGCGTTTTAATAATCACTCTTAATATTTGCTTTATTTCTGCGGATTTTATCGTCATTATATTGCATGTTTCAAACATGTTTTTTTGCTACTTATTTCGACAAGGTGTTTAAATATTTTCACATTTTTAATACAATATTATTACAAAAAGCAAAATTTGAGTGTGGGTTATAAAAAACTTTAAAACCTTTTTTTTTTTACTTTATTTTTGTTCTTTTCTAGCTTAACCTTTTACTTACGGCTGGTACAATAAGTGAACCAGAACGTTTTCATCATGGTAAGCGCCGTAAGTAAAAAGTTAAAGAACCGTTTAAGATTTAATATTCATAAAATCCCTAATAATTTTCTAAATATAAATGTCCGAAAATTATTAATAAAGTACAATTTATTTTGAGCTATACTGTGTTCGTTTTATTTTAAATCATTTTAGACAACCATAAAATTTCTTTAACTGAATTATTTAATTTGAATTTAAATTGCTCAATAAAATATTTATATATTTATTTATTTTACTTTAATTCAACAAACTTTACAGTTTATTTATAAATTACAGTTACAACATTAAATTACAAGCATTTCAGCTTCATCAAATAAACCTATTGTATTATGTGGTTAGGAAAAAGTGATGTTTTTTTTATCGCATCTTTATTTTTTTTCGATAAATATACGTTTGGATTCGAAGAAAATAATTATTTGATTTTTTAAAAAGTGTGAGTTAAAAAAGTTTTCTTGAGGCTTGAATGAACACAAAATCATTATTTTCTTGTAAATATATTACTAAGCTGACTAATAAAAAGAATTTAGCATCCAAAACAGTGACGTTTATATTAAGATTATCGTAATTGCAATCAACATGTTTAAATACTTGGCATGCTGCCCGTCATTAGTCAACATGCTTTGCAAGTAACCCTTCACTCAAGAAGGTTGTACACTGCTATTTTACTTGATAGAAGAATGTAAAATTTGTTTGTAATGATCAGAAAACGATTGCTAGTTTTTTTTTTGCAATTTATTGCAGTTTTAGCTGAACAGAGTCAATACAATGTAGCGTATATGGATTATGTTCCCTGTCGTTACTGAGACTAGGTTCTGTAAATTGCTAAACGACTTTTGAATTCTTTAAAAATATATTGCTTTATTTAATAGTCGCATGTAATTAATTGAACAGACTGATTTTCCTAAGAAACGAGGAGATAAGTTGATTTCAACACAACAAAAGTTTGTGAAAAGTTTAAAAGTAAATACAATAAAATTCAAAGGAATAATTTGTTATTCTGAACGAAATGCGTATAATGCTAAATAAAGTTACATACAGTGGTATGTACTTAACTTAGTAAATCAAATATTATTTTATTTAATAACTAGTCAATTATATTTTATTTTATATACCGTGGTTAAGTAAGTGACTTAAAGTAATAGTATGTTTCTGTATCATCCCTTATAAGTAAAATAAAAAGCAAAAATTTTCATTTTCGTAACATTCTATCAGACTTAGATAACAAAGGAATTCATGATTCAAGTCTTTGATAAAAGTTTTGTTCGTGGGCTGCTTGTTTCTATTGCTACAATTATTTTCAATGGACAGTAGCAAAAGAGTTATTAGTTTTTACCGCGATATAAATGTCTACAAATTATAACTTATCCACCGAGAGATTAGATTACCACGGTCTTTTGGTGATGCCCTAAACCAGTGTTGTTTCCCAAAGTGTGGTACGCGTACCCCCAGTGGTACACGTACTATTCGCGTCCTCATGTGTGCTAATTTTGCTTTTACATGTTATTTAAATCCTCAGATAATTTTTTTATCGAAGATAGGACACAAACAGCCAATAATTTGATTCACAAGCAGGTAAATACATTTCAAAAATTGTGTTCTGAATAAGAGTTTTGAAAATTATTAAATACTTTTCAGCATGCTATATCATCGCATTCGATTTTTTACCTCGAGAAATTTGCTTCAGATCGAAAACGTAAAAATAGTAAGATTCAATATTTTTTAAAAAGCTATCCAATGATATCAAGCTCGATCGATCACCCTACACCTTGGGGTTGGCGTGGTGGCAGCTTTGAAGTCTTAAATATGCACCCTTAATTTTGTAGCAGATTCGGATTCTCCAGATAAAAGTAACCCAATTTGAGTTGTAGTTTAGTGCAGTTTGCTTAACAGATGACGTGATAACCGTGAACAATAAAATAGAGCACAAACTGTTTAAAATGGTGATATCTCGAGACACATGAGATTGAAAAAATTAATTGAAAATAAAAATGTTTCAGTATTTTTCTTCAAAAAAAAGTTTTTTCTAGAAAAAAAAGTCGGTAAAATTTTCTTTAAACTGGCCTTTTTCAAGTTCTTAATCCGATATAATGGGTCTCGAGGTTTGTTCTTTTAAACGGCTTGTAACCAGTTTAATTTTTCTCGGTTACAACGTCATCTGTGAAGCAAAATGCATAAGCTAGCTCAACTAGGGTTACTTTTTTTCTTGAGAATCCAAAATCGCAATAAAAAGTGGGGGTTCATCTCTCGAACTCGAAACACCTTCAGACAGTGAATGAATGAGCGAATTTGGTATCATTGGAAAACTTTCAGAACTACGGAATGTGTCTACTTTCACTTATTCAATCCAATCTATATTTCACAAGATATTTGACCATTTCCTAACTATTTTTACACTTTGTGCATGGCTTTTTGACTTGGTGAATCAAGTTCGAATCCAACCAACAGTTTGTATTTTCATCCGTTTTATACAGAAGTTCGTCCGTGAAGGCAATTTTGACCCTTCACTTGGTTCAAGATTTTTCTGTTCAACTGTTAGTTGCAGAGTCGTGAGTATTGGTTGTTTGATACCAGTTATTAAACCTAAAATATCATTTACACTAAAGTTAATAAAAAAAATAATAATTGGACATACCAGCAATAATATTGTCAATTAAAATTCGCACTATTAAAAAATTGAAATGAACCTACAATTACGATGTAATTTATAAAAGTAACTCATGTTTTATAATTTATCGATTTGAGCATTAATTTGTTTTTTAGAAATAATAATTCAAAATAAAAATCTAAATCATTAATACCTATTTATGATAAAAATGCCTCATTTAATTGTGTACACAAAAATACTTATTCCAGCTCAAAATAACTGAGTTTATGCAGAATTGCATTAAAAAATAATTTCGAATGAGAATATTCGAAATTTTAAGAAATGAATTTTTATCTATCATTAACCAAAAAATTTGAAAATAATTAACAAAATGAATAATTTTTTATCATTCAAATGCTTAATCACATATATAATTATATTGCAAACAAACTTTAAAGAATATTAAACTTCTCAACATTAATTACAATATTAGAAAACAACAAAAACTGCATTTATTCCAAAGTATATTTTCTTTCTCGACTAAATATTTTTAGCTTTATTGATAAATTATACCTAGATTAATATGAATGTAAAATTGTGCATATTCTATTTATACATCAGATGTTTGGTCATAAATTAAATAAAAATCCCCATTGAAAAATTTAACTGGAGAATTTCAAATTAAATATAAATTTGAAAATTTATAATAATTTACGAAAAAACTTATTTATACAAAAAAAGAACATAAAATATTATTTATTTTCTTTTAAAGAATAGTTAATGTCTTTCACTTTGCATCGCATTTTTATTAAATAAAAAGTAATAATTGAAATCCGAATTTTAGTAAAAGAATTTCAATACAAAATATTATAAATGTTTAAAAATGCAACACATTCGTAACTTTATTTGACAATAATTAAAATAAGCAGACTACACAAATGATTTGTTTGCATTATTAAATAATATATCGTAGTAATGTAAAGAACAATAAGACGAATAATTTATAAGAATTAGAATAGCTTGCCTGTGTGAACTGTTCCAATTTTCTTCGTTTGGCTTGCATAGTTTTATTCATATCAGTACTAAATTTTTCCAATAATTTTGACATACTTCCACCAAAATCTTGAGGATAGTTAGATTCATTTTCCAAATCACCCAAGCTTTTCTTAGAATCACAATCAGAGTTGTCTGGAGACTTTGGAATTTCATCTATTTCTTCTTCGGATAGAATGGAATCACTGTTAGCTCCACCATTTTGTTGACCATTTGGTTTCCTGCTTTTTTTCGGAGTTTTACGTCCATTTTCGGCTTTATTTCTAGGCATTGATAAAATTTTATTGAAAACAAAAACAAGTAATCGAATTCTTAATTGATATTGTATAAATCAGCTGTTGGAGAAATGCGGCTGTCCTGAAATCGATCCGTTGCCATTTAGCAACTTTCAATAGTTTTTGCAGACGATAAACTTCTCTCTTTCAACGCTGATAAATTTCAAAACTTTGATTTGAAAGATCGTCTGAAATTTATTTTTTGTGCAAAAATAAAAATCGTTTGCAACAAAAATACAATTCAAACTTTCTTATTTTATCACATCAAAATGTAATTTGCTTAATTTAAAGAAAAAAACATGCTTTTTTTTTTACTGTTATGAAATTAAGGTTTAAACATAATTACAACTTTTTATCACCTTATTTTTAAGTAAGCATTTTCTGTTTCCAGAAAAACGGTGGGTATTTATCGCCGACTGCGGCTTGGGCCGGAATGCCATTCTAAATGTTCAAGCTGGGTGTTTGATTTAATTGCATTTTTTTCCAATCGTGTCTTATTTGGTCGTTCGCAGTCAAATCTAATGGTATAACCCAGACTGTTAACGGTTAGTAGGTACCTTATTATCGTCGGACTAGAGCTGCAGAATGGGCTATTGGCGACGGTCTGGGATCCCTGGGAATGATCCGAATACATGTCATCGCAATTTTGATCCTCCGCAGAGGGAATAATTCCTGTGCTTTTGTAGCCCGACGACCTGCGCGCGAAGTCGAGCACTTTGCGGTAAAACAGTTTAACAAGGACCGATAGCACCCATCCTCGTTCCCTACGCAGACCACACGCTTACTGACAGCAATCACTGATGCTTGACTTCGGTGTTCTACTGGAACAGTGTCTTTGTGATCGGTCCACTGCGGGACTCCCGGCGGTTTAATTGCGGGAAAGTCCGAACATTGTTTTGTTGTCGGAGAACGTGGTGCGGAGTCCGGGTGATAACAGCCACCATCTGTTTTCAATCTAAATTGTGGAAGAGTAGTGTGAAGTTAACATCCAAAATAAATATTGATATTAGTTTTAAATTTGAGGTACTTTATGAGGAAATATGCCAAAACATTTTTACTCACATTAGCGAAAATACTGTTGTAATTAATTTAAGTAAAAAAAAGACAGTAGACGCCCAGTTGTTAGGGTATCAGACTTCGGTCCGGGGTGGTCCGGGGTTTGATCTCGACTCCGCGAAGTTCGACCGAGTACATGCAATATACACGCTCGTAAAATCTGTGGAATCCTGTGGTCAGTCACTGAACAGTATTATGAGTTAAGGAATCTGAAGAAAGCTTGTTTTCCTTTCAGATCTAATGAATTGAAGAAATGGCTTCACAAATGAGATTCTCCCTGCAGAGGATCAAAATTGTGATGGCATGTCTTCGAAACATCCCTAGAGATATTTCCCGGACCGTCGCTAATAGCCCATTGTGTGGCTCGAGTGTGACTTACATGAAGTATTTCCGAGGGTGTGCGGTATTGGTCCTCGTTAAACTGCGCTACCGTAAAGTGCTCGACTTCGCGCGCAGGTCGTCGGGCTACCGAAGCGGGGGTGCCATCCCCTCCGCAGAGGATTAAAATTGTGATGGCATGTCTTCGGATCATCCTCCGGGATGTTTCCCAGACCGTTGCCAATAGCCCATTGTGCAGCTCTAGTGCGACGTAAATTAACAACAACAACAACATGAAGTATTTACCTACCTTAAGTAAAATAAATAAACGAAAAAATAAATGTTCTCAAGCAACTTTAACTACCGTTTTAAATTAAAGAAAGTACGTTAATAGCACAGGTTATGGAAATAAATCACAAAGATATACCCAGCGTGACGGCGAGACTCGAGCCCCCTACCTCAATGCAACAGATTGCTTCGCGAAACACCATGAACTAATTTAATTTATTTATAAATTTCTAGCTTTAAAGTTACGCCATTACTGATTATTCTATTCATCACTTTTTATCGTTTAATAAATAAAATAAAGCATAATTGGCAAGCGAATGGTACACAGCCATTTTAGTGTAGTAAAAATATCTCAATGAAAAATAGCAAAACAGCCGAATAAAAGGTCTCGTTAGGTATCGTACATAAGATAGATATTTTATTTATGTCACACTAGCTCTACACAATAGGTTGCGATAGTCTTAGAAATATCGCTGAGGAAGATCCCAAGACATGCCATCACAAATTTAATCCTAAACAGAGGGGGTGGCTCCTCCGCTTTGGTAGCCCGACGACCTGAGAGTGAAGTGGATCACGTTACGGTAGAATGAGGGCCGATACCGTGCACCCTAGGTTCCTACGCAGGCTGATCAAAGTAGTCACCGACCCGCTTATTGACCACAGTCTTGCTTGATGATGCAGTGTATGCTTGACTTCTGCATACTACTGAGAATCGTGTCTTTGAGTGTTGGTCGCGGGACACAAAAATCTCGTATTGCTACAATAAAGGTCAAAATTTTGTGTCCGATGTCCCTGAAAATATTTAGCGAATACAAACAGATACGTACAAGTACTTATTTGAGATAGAAAGAAAATAAATTAGCGCCTACAGGAAACGCTAAATATTGCCCTTCCTCTAATCATGAAGGTAGAACGTGAAACTTGAACGTTCAATGACTGCGTAACGATTAGGTGCTTAACTAGTATTTTATTATTTTGTTTATATATTTCCAACATAAATATTTGGGAGCGTGGTCTTGAATAAGTAATAATCCCTTTTCAAATTATAAAAAAAAATCGAAAAAGATTATAGAATGACATTACAGGGATGCGTGAAGTATTTCAGCAGGAATCGAACCCGTTACTTTCATGTTTCCCACAATTTAAAAACAAATCACGCGACTTAAAGGAGCAAATATTTTAAACATGGAAGCTATGTTCAGAATCCTATTCGTGTAACCTTTAGCTACTACTATTTCTTCTATCTGCCTTTAAACTTTAAAACTTAAAAGCAAAGCTAAAATCAAACTTGCAACTTGAAAGTTTCATACACTGTATAACTGACTGATGCAATGCAAAACGTCATTATTGACACACGGAATTTAGGATCAATTTAAATACGGCAGTCTACGCTTAGGCTCTTTAGCGACTTCTCCAAACCCCTTACCTAGACATTGGAATAAATATGAATGTACAGTACGCAAAAATAAAAAAATATCTATACATAATTTTGAATAACTATTGTTCTAATGACCGGATTTTAACGTACAAAGTGTCCATAAATATGCTAAATATCACATGCAGAATTATTACTTTAAATATACAATTAATTAAATTGCGAAACATACACAAAACCATACTTTCTGAACATAAGCATAGATATTTTTTCTTATTTGGATGCCTGAATCTCGCAATATGGAGCAATAATGTATTTATATATTCTGAAAAATAAACAAAATAAACGCCAACATAACTCTGTCAGCAGACTGCAGAAATTTAAGATCACCCTAACGTGAGTGATTGACAAGCGTTACACCGTTACATGCAACCGAGAGGTTAAAAAGGAAGGAAATAAAAACTGGAGTTTTTTTCACCCAGGTTTACATGTCTAATGGAGAAGGCTGACATTTCTAGGTAACTAGGTAAACTTATTTTTGGCCTAAAGGCAAACATAATTTTCTTTTTAATATCGCCAAAAAATAAAATTTGAATTGATCAAAAAATTATTCATGATTTGTCAAGCTTGTAGAATTTGAACACGTAAAACTTTATGTGATATAATTTAAGCTCTTTCTTGTTAATTTACTTTATTTATATGAAATTTTTTATTGCTAAAATCAACTTTACATAAGTTATTATATTAAAAAGATGACTGAATGAAATGAATAATTTTTTTTGAAAATGAAATTTGACGAACGTTCTTACTTAATTATAAAACATTCGTTTATGTTGTGAACCTGTTGATTCCGAAACTCTCAAACAGTGAAGTAAGTGAAAACCAATATTTGAGTATAAGGGCGTTTGGCAACAAACAGTCAAGAAACAACCCTTGAAAATAATTTGGTTGACATCGATGATGCGCATGGAGCTAATGAGTTTATATTTAATATTAAGAGTTATATAAAGATTGATATCAAAATTTTCCAACTACACTCATTATTTAAAATTAAGACAGAAATACAAAAGTATAGAATAACTCCCCATAAAATAAGCCAATTCCAATGTAATTTGAATATGTTGTAGAAATAAGAGGGGCCACGTAAAACTGACACATGTTAATTAGTGGCACTGCAATTAAATGACATCATCTATTTTGAGTATACAATTGTATGCTTCATCGCAAGCGTAAAAAAATTGCTGTGTGTCAGAAATTAGAAATTTGAAATAACCAATGTGTAACAATGACTATCAGGCATTATTTGTCCAAAGAACAGCAATGGAGATCTTTTGGAAGACTAGAGGCAGGAAAAAGTCAGAAATGAGCAGTTGGCTAAATGTGAGTTCTTCTGTGGCTCATAAACTATTTCTAAACACAGATTTGGCACTCGGGAAGTTCAGCCAACGGCGGCCGAATGCTACGACGAGTACTTAAATGCCGACATTTTTTGTTATGTGCACGAAAATATAAAACCGCAACTCCGAGTCAGATTAGATTCTTTCTTAGTGCAGTCAGTCGAAGATTTGTACCAACGTCTACTGTGGGTGGAAGACTTCACGAACGTGGTTAATTCTTTTGGCGATCAACCAATTACGTGCCACTCTCGTCACGCCAAAGAAGGAAACGTCTGAGGTGGGTGCAGCAAGACTATTGAACGACTGTCCAATGGAGGGCTTTTCTCGTCACAGATGAGTCCAGATGTAGCCTTCAAAGCTATATTAGGCATTGTTTGATTTGTAGAACCCGATATCATCCATTAAACATCTGTGAAAGAGAGGCATACCAAGGTTGTAATGTCTATGTGTGGGGTGGTATCTCTTTGAGTGGAACTCACAGAACTGTGTATCTTTCCACGTGCAGCCATGAATATTCATTGGTATAGAGATGACATTCTTAATGCTCATGCGCGCCCTTATGCTGGGGCAATAGATGATGGTTTCGTGCTACAGGACGATAACGCAACGCCGCATAGGACTTGCATGGTGGATGATTATCTTCAGCAGAAAACAATTAAGCTCATAAGGTGGTCTGTTGGATCACTAAACTTGAACTCCGTCAAGCATGCTTGGGATGCTTGAAGAAAGCATGTAGATGCTCTCAATGAACGTGGAACATCCTCAGCAACGTAGAAATTCCCTCAGCAATACCTCCAACAGTGCACTTCTTCAGAACTTTGCTACGCTTGTAACTGC